AATGGACTGCAGGAAGAAAATATTTACTCAGTTGTGACTGTTGATGCACTAAATACTTGAGTTATTTGGTAGGCAAATAGCACATTGCCTTTCCAGATCAGTTGATAGTAATTGTTGCTGGGCCTCTCTTAGCCAGTTCCCTGCTACGCTATTGACGTCCCGGATGTGAGTGCAGAGGCAGATGAATCTGTTCACATCGTCCCTTTCATCAATGTGTCCCAGATTTGTTTCGGTTGATGTAACCCTGTTTACTTTGGATGCTTAGAAAGGATTTGTGAAAATCAATACGAAATGTGCCAACATCCGCCCTCCGCCTCGATTCCCAGTAAGTTGCTTTGCAAAGTGTTTACTGTATGAATCAGAGCGGACGCCGAGTTTCATCTGGAAGAATGAATCTCCAGTCTCGCACACAAAGGTTTGTTTGACATCTGTTCACAACTCTTGGTTCAAGTATGTTAAAAGCAAAGAGCTTTGCAGTGCAACCTAGATTACCAATCCAATTTTTATCATCCTGGCCAATTAGTTGTTTTTATGGGCAAGGCAGGAATTGTTAGTGGTTGCTTCTGACCAAGAGACCCTAACTCCCTTCTTTCAACTGATTGGGCTCTCCGTAATAGGAACAACATAAAAGCAATCAAAACAATTCATTCACTCGGAAGTTAACTAGGCTGAGGAGTTTCAATTATAATAACAATAATAATCCTTACATTCGATACAGTGCCTTATTGCGTCATTGAGATGTCTCAAAGTGCTTAACACCATATACTGTAAAGTGAATTGACTGTATATTTTGTGGGTGAAACGTGGCAGCCAACTGCACACAGCAGTGTCCCACAAACAGCTGTGGATTGAGTGACCAAATTTTTTTTGTTTTTTTTCTAGGGATTATTACCCCCAGCCGGATTCTTACTTACTGCTAGGTAAACAGAGGCATGTGGAGTAAGGAAAGTTGCCTAAGGTTTCGCCTTGCCCAAGAGTTATAAAGAGAAGTTGGAGCATTTATTTTTAAACTAGCACTCACAAGGTTAAGGCCATCAAAGCTTTGAAGAGCTACAAAAGAGTAAAAGTAGGAATCAGTTGTTTTCACTGGCCGGTGGGTCAGTCAGTAATGGGAGGACCCAATTTTAAGATTATCTCAAAAGGAATTAAGGCGAGGTTGGAAATTCTTTACAGAGGGCAGTTGGAATGTAGACTATTTTTGACTTTAACTCACAAACGGGATCAATCCTATCCAGGGACCGCCTAGTATTCCTGCTAGAGTAGATCCATTGGATACTATTGAGCACCTCCAAGACTAATGGATTGAAACTCCTTTAAAAACCAACTGCATTTTTGGAACTGGTCCAAATAACTTTATAAGCTTCTTTCCCGAGAGTCCATTAACTTAGGTTAAGTGTATAACGGCATATCATGAGGCAACTTATTGGGTGTTATAGAGGAACTTTGCTGAGAACAAATGGGTCCATTTTAGTGCATTTTGTGAAGGTGAATGGCGCCCCCGACATGTCAGGATGTGGTTCAGGTGCCCAGACGACGATGCGAACGAGACTAGTTTAGAAGCTGCCTGTGCTGTCACGCTAAGTTGTTTGAGTTACCCAATGGATCTATAGTTTTTAATGCTTCAGCTACTGTTCAATGGTAAGCAGCTGTTTGGAGGCTGGTTAGAGGAAATCTTACCCACGTTCAGGAATAGCTGGCAAATGGTCAGGGTGATTCTGGCCTTGCTGCAGATTCTGGATAATGGCCAGTAAGTGTTTAACAAGTATTGTTCTTTGCCAACCAAAAGCTCGTGCTTCATGGGTTTCAAATGTGCCTGGCCTGTTTCAGATTTCCTGAGACTCAACAAGAAGATCTGATCTTAATAGCTCCAGCTATTATGTTTGATTTGAGGAGTCAGGTTTAGGCTCTGGCTTATTCATTTCTCTTCCTAAATTTAGGAACAAAGTGGTTACTTCTTCATTTTGAGAGAATACAGCCCAAGTTCAACAGTGTCAAGCCATTCTCACATGGTTATATTTTTAGGAACTGGGACATTTCCCAATTTTCCAGGCCAGGGCCACAGATGTTCTACATGACATGAAATTGGGAAATTAATATTGCTTCTTGTGTGACCGGTAATTGTAACATAGCAATATTTACGGAGAGATGCAGTGGTTTGGGAAATTTAATAAAAATGCCCCTTGTTTCAATCTCGTTAAAGAGATCGTAATTCTTGCACAAATAGCAGAATTTGTTTGCGAATGGGTCCAGTCACTGGCAGTGGAGGCTTGTTAAGCTTTGGCCCAGCTGCTGTTAAACCAACTGCCATATATTTTAACTGAGGGCCTTCTTCAAAGTAGACCTGTACAGAACACCCCTCCTCGCAGTTGTTAGGGGGGTGGGGGCGTTCTAGTCTTCAGGACTCTTGTTTTTATTTGGTTAGAAACAGATGCTTAAATGTTGATTTGTTTCTATCTGATGCCAGCTTTAAACAACAACTGCCTATTATTGCAGAAAAAACATTTCTTGAATTAACCCAGCCTCACTCAACAATGAGACAAATGGCCATCGTACAACTAACTCCACATTGTGTCAACGGATGGTTTCCAGCAGTTGCAGATTTTTTTTATCATAGTAACAGTTTCTATTATATATTAGTTTTAAGTGGATCTTTATTACAGCTAATCAGTCTGAGACTCGGTGTGTGTGTGTAGGGGGTGGGGTGGTGGTTATTGACTTAGTTTTGGCACTAGCTTTGATGGACAAAACTAATCTTAGCTGAGGTCAAGCAGGTAACTGCTGTGAAAAGGTTGGCTCTGCATTGACTTTGGCTCAGGGTAAATTTAGCTTCCAAGTATATCTTCATTAACACAGTATTTAATTCCCTTTTCCGAACCAGTGATCTGTGTAAGACTGGGACTAGAAACTTGCTCTGGAAAATTGCAAGCACAGAACTGCTTCCCAGCACTAGTGTATTGGCTCAATCACTCAATATGCTCTCCATTTTGACTGCCCTTACTTTCAAAGGATTTACTAATAGCCAAAGCCTGCACCGAATTTACTGCACCAATAAAACCCGAAAGTCTCAAAGCTCTACAATAACGCTTGTTTATTAGCTCCAGGCATGAGAAAGTTGTCAGAGAACTGATGCAAGTCACTTCAGCTACACCCTGAACAATAAACTTTTCTACAGGAATTGTATTTCACTGAATTGAAAGCCACTAATCCTTTGCTTGGCTCAAATCCATGACTGTAGTTGGTCAATCTCCAACTGGAGAACTGATGCAACATTGAACTCTGTATGTTCTAGCATCTTGGGGTTCTATACTCTAGGGAGTCCATGTGGTTAATAGGTAGAGTAAGGGGCTAAGCAAGATGCAAAGCTTCACTCTTCAGGCAGGACTATGTGGTTTGTAAAGGATCGTATTGAAAAAGCCGTTTCAGAGCTGGGCAAACACATATCCATCACATGTGGTTGGAGACCATTTTAAACTGCCAAGTTTGCACTGGAAAAATATTAGTGTGGACTTTTTAACAAACTCCTTGTACTCCCCTTTGCACCTTAGCTGAATAAGCTCACATACACAGTTCTACACTGGCTGAACATTGTGTTGTGACTGTGTAAGTAAAAGCCAAGTCTAACACAGGACAAGCTTTGATCTTGCCCGTTCACCACAAAGGTGCCAAATTGCCAATTTCAAGATGCCACTAATGACTGGCTTTACCTGAATTTAGAGGACCAGAGTATTGATCGAAAGTATATGAGAACTTACTAAGAGGAATCTACTTTATGAAGAAGTTTCAGCTTTGTCTTGAGAGTGGAGATTACTTTTCTGCGGTGTTTTGCTGACCTTTGAATTATGAACTATAAAGACCGTTTAATGGCTCAGTTACATCCAGGCTTTGATGGATTTCCTTTTCCTGATTTTTCTTGGACAATGTCGACGATTATTTTTAATTAATTTTCTTTTTTAAAGCGCAAAACAATGGCCGACTTGTGATTCATCAGGTCCACACTGACCTTAGTTATAAGACAATTATTTGCATTTAGCTAGAATATTACATAATATGTACGCTAGACAGTTGTACAGTTTCACATCTGATTATAGTTTAGTAAATAGCTTCATGGTAATAAAGCATCATAATATTATAAGTCTCCATTGATAATGATTTTGTTCATGGGGCCTAATATTATTAGGGAAGAAGTTATATCTGCAGACTACTATCATGGCTCAGGAGGCAATATATCGCATAGAAAAACATTTAACTGCTAGGTAAAAAGCACATTTTTTTATGTAGCTCTTTATAGTTGGAGCTTGTAATGTGCATAAAAGAGCAACAGTTACGCCAAGCTATACACAAATTACTCCACAGAGGCAGCAAGATGTTTACGACCACATTTTTTTTTACAAGAAATGTAAAGTGAAAAGAAGATAATAGCAAATACTAATAATCCTTGCATTTGATAGCGTGCCTTATTATGTTGTTAAAATGCCTTAAAGTGTTTCACAGAGTGTATTTTCACGTGAATGAGGCAGCTAATTTGCACCCAACTTATGTCCTACAAACTACCATGAGGTAATGACCAATTTTATCTGGGGGCCTGTTGGTCAGGACACTGGGAAAAAGAAACTCCCTTCTTTTTTTGAATGGTGTAATGGGACTTTAACATCTCCCGAACAAGCAGACAGGGCCTCGATTTAATTACTCCATCCGAAGGGCTGTACCTCTGGCAATGCTGGTTAGCTCAAAAAGTCCCAACATGGGGTTTGAGCCTACAACCTTCAGACACGAGTGCTACCAACTGAATCGGCTGGACGCAGGCAAAAGATGTATCCGACAGGCACAGATAAAAGTAGAGATAGAAAACTGAAAAGATATTTAATGCACTAAACATTTCCATAATCTCTTCTGTCTTTCTTTTGCCATTGTGTTTAGATGAGAGGGTTTGATTCAAGCAACTTTGGCTTTCTGTATTTTTAATGTTTTGCGTAACTAAATGTTATGGCTTTCCTTTCCAGCCAAAGAAACCGAAGGCTCCTGACAATCCCTTCCACGGTATCATCTCCAAATGTTTTGAGCCACATCTCTATGTTTACATTGAATCGCAGGACAGGTAAGTCGCATTTTCATTTAGTATTTGCAAAAATCTTTTTTTCTTTTAAATTTTAAGCACAATTATCTTTCTAATTTTTCCTCCGCATTGGCAAACTTCTCTTTTCTCCTGCTCCCCAGCCCCCTTGTTTATGGAGTGAGGTTCCACAGGCCCTGGTTGCCCTCAGGAAAGTGGCTCTTGTTAATGTGTAGGCCATTACACAGCCCAACCTGACCTCTCCTCACCTATCTGCCACACGTGCCTCATGACCAGTAGGGGGCGTTGTAGAGAGACTGGAGAAGAAAACGTGGCTGGTTTGTCCTTCATTAACATTGGGGAAAGTCGAACCAATTTGGTCTCCCAAGCAGCCCCATCCAAGACCAGCAAACTCAGCACAGACCAGGTTTCGAAACCCTGTAGGTCTATCCAACATTGCCTCTGCCCAGTAATTGCAAAACTCTATAGTGAGCGTTGCAATATGGACTGTTAAAGGACATTGAGTTGAATGCTGTCACAGTATTTATTGTATGAGCACAGTAACAATATTGGGAGAGCAAACAAGGAGACCTGGGTTTATGGTTGAATATCACTCGTCCTAGCCATGAACTATGTTAATGAGAGAACACTTGCTGGTGGTAAAGGGGGAACCACTCAGACACACGTTCTGATAGATTGACCAAGGGTGGTGCTGTCAGTGTACTTTAAGATTTGTATTGGGCAGAGCTGTTGTGTCTTGAATTAAACTGGATGAAACACCCCCCAACAAAAACTGGGAACTGAGTGTTCAGTGGTCAATAGGCAAGTGAAACTGGTTGGATTAGTGCTTTATCCACTCTCTTTCACCTTAGTATATCTTACAGTATATTTTGTGAAGCGCTTTGAGACGTCTCGAAGATGTGATAAGGCACTATATGGAATGCAAGGATTATTATTATTAGTAGTAGTAGTATTATTCAGAGAACCAAGTAGCAAGAAAATAGGTTCAAACCTTGATGAAGTTTACATTGATCACTTTGAATGTAAAAGTTGAAAACCTGATCCCTTTGTATTAGGGTCCGAGGTCCACAGTTTACATGGTTCCTGATTCTCATAGTTGGTCTCTGCTCATACAGAGTTAAGTTCCTCTCGCTGGAACAGAGTACAGGCGCTACTCAAGATTGTTGTAGATACTGTCACTTCACTGAACCTGCGTGTGCTCAAAATACAATAAGTAAGCCAAGCAGTGACTTGCAATTTCAAGTAAAAATCTCCCCAGGTGTCTAACCTGCACAGTTTGTTATTTTTAACCGAGGAAGAAAAGGTTTTTTATTCCGCAATAATGAAGAAAGGGAGGATTGAATAACCTAATAATATAACAGATGATAGTGATCCTAATCATTTAATTATACAGCTTGCAGTGGAAGAAAAGGAATATTTGGGGAATTGAAAAGACAGCTCAGTGAAGACAATTTTCTGTAATGCCTATATTCTACACCGTACCCTAGAGGTGAAATTTAACCCAGTCACTGATCCACAAATGTTGATCCAACTGCTTTTTTAAAGCTGTAACCCCACCAGCTTCAAAGACGTTACTTTAAGACGCATCAAATATTTTGTTAGGCACCCAAGGTGGTTTTCCTGTTTTACACTCCATTATAGATTTCTACTCGCTTAAGTGTTGCCATGACAAAGTGTGATTTTGAAGTTGTTTCATGTGGGAGGAACTAAATGCCAGAGACCAAAGTTGTTAATAATAATAATCTTTGCATTGGATGTAGCGCCTTATCACGTCATTGAGAGTCTCAAAGCACTTCACAGAATGTACGGTAAAGCGGATTGACAATGTATTTTGTGGGCGAAACGTGGCAGCCACTTGCTGTTTAACAAGCTCTGGGGCTTAGAGGAATACTCTGTTATGCCACATTCTATTTTTTCCATAAAATTCTCTTGTAAAAGTGTCTGGAAGCACGGACAAGCGAAAGCACGCAAGACTTATTTTAGGGCTGTCACGATGAAACGTTACATTTTTGGATTAATTACTTTATGCGAAGTTTGAGCAGACGTTGAGCAATTGCAACAAAGATCAAGTGGACTATTTTTGTTTAAAAAGCCATATAAAATAAACATAGCTGAAATATTTTATTGGAATCAAGTGTGCTTGGTTAGAAAAGGCACTCAAGAAGACAGTCTCATTGATATTGAGTTTGATTTCATTAACCACTTAACTCCTACTTGTAAAGACTATTTAGGTAACTGTTTTGGATTAAGTTGGGTTGGATGTGGTGTTTTAAATTGTGATTAATTGTAATCGCTATGGTGTGTGTCACACGTTTACTTTATTCCACATATTTAACATTCCACCGCTATACTATTTTAAAATATATATATATATATAACATGTTTAATTATAACATGTGAGTTTCTGTCAAATAGCTGTTAACACAACAAATTGCTTGTGATTTCAAGCAATTTAGGGCTCCACGTTAGAGTTTTTGAGGCATCCTATTTCTCATAGTTGTTGCAATTGATCCGTAAGCAGTCAATTCCCCCCGTTGCAAATGACTGGCAGTGAGAGATCTAGAATCGACAGTAATGTTCGCTGCATGTCCTGATTACATTAAGATGCCAAGAAGTTCAACAGATGGTAATTGTAGCTTTTCAGCCATTCAAGTTTAAGTGCTTGGCCCAAGGGTGGGGAACCCAGAGAATAATGGATAGATGTGAAGCGATGTAAAAGGTGTAACACAATCAAGAGATTCAGATATTGCAGCTCCCCTTCGGATTGTGTTACAGCCTGTAACTCAATGCAACAAACTGCGTTACATAATTCACAGTGGGTTGGGGGTATCTGCTATATCTTCTGCATGCTGCATAAAATCAAAGCCTGGCATGCCACCTTGGAGACAGTTCAATCCCAGAAAGACCCTGTTTACTTTTGTTCCACCCCCCAACACCAAGTAATTTGAGTGGAGCTAAAGCTTTATGTACGTCTTCGCTACATCTCATGATGTAAATCCAAACGTCTACTCAGTTTATGTTAGATGATGTATGCGCAGCAATGTTTATTTCATGTTATGTGTGTATCACAACTGGTGCCGAGGCTTGAGAGCCCTATCGACAGCGGAGGAGCAAGGGGCAAAGAGCGAAAACCTCGCCTGGAGACTGAGCACAAAAGAGATTGACATATTAAGAGCGGCAGAGATTTACACACAGATAAACAGAAGACTCTCCCAGCTGGCTTGCGCAGCTTGTTTCAATAGAAACCCAGACGCGTTGAAATACATCCAAGTTCAAACATGGTTACAAATTAAAAGGGAAAATTACAGGAACCTCACTCTGCATTATTAGGAACAGACTCATAATGGTATCCTTTGAATACAGACCAGGGTTTTTTGTAGTGCGGGAGTCTGATTCATATTTTAAGGTAAATTTTTGTTAAAGAGAAATATTTTGGGGGAGGAGAGCCCAATTTTGTGGTAAAATATTTCTGCGCTTTACAGTAAATGATCATATCCCATATAACGCAGATTATCGAGCTGAATAGTTAGTGAGCTGTTTGGTGGATTTAGGCAGATCCATATGTATTTGCTAGCTTTTCGCACGGAAACTTTGTCAATCTGCAAAAAATAATGGGGAATTATGTGTCATAATGTAGCTGTACGGTTAGAAAACTGGAATCCCAAAGAGCTTGCTTCATGGAGTAAAGTGGAAGAGAGCGAGGTGAGGGGAGTTGGTGGCAGAGAGAAATATTTACTCACAGAATTTGAGCATTGTTAAAGACCATGTTCCATTTTTATGTTTATTTTGGTGGAAAAAATACTTCTGCAGTCATTTGAGGGTTAATGTTATACTTTCACTAGCAAAAGCATAACAGGATGGACTTCCTGGCTTTGTGTTTCTCTCCCCCTCCCCACCACCTTTCCTTCCCACGATTTCCCATCCGGTTTTCGTTGCCTTATCATTCTTATCTCATTAATTTACCAGCCGTTGACGTGTTATAGAAGTCACTCATTTACATTTACTTGTTTATAGATCTCAGTTTTCAGTTCTTATTGATTCTGTTGCTTGAAATCTGCAACCCGATTGCAGTCACTAGTCACCGCGATCCCATTGACTTTCCAACCAGCTCAATCTCCCTTGTGCCCAGCAATTGTCTAGTTTTTTTTGACACATCAACCAGCGTATTTATTTATCCATTGTCATAAAATCCGGAAAAACTGTGCCTTACTTAGTCCTGTAAACCAATCCTCTTTGCCAAGTTATACCCAAACGTAGCAGATGGGCCTCTGGAGGAATAGTCAATGTATGACCAATTTAGCGCTTAATTGGCAATGTGCATTTGAGAATATCTCCCAGAAATAGCTGGGACTTATTTTCAGAAACGTTCTGTGGCCAGACACCCCTGGAGCATATGTGCCTAGTTTCCCTTCTCTTGGGCAAAACGCCAACATTTCAGATTGCAGAAAGGCCCCAGTTTTAAACGCCGGGCTGCAGACAAAGCCATCTCGGTGCAATAATTCAGCTCAGGAGACTTATAGCTCAATGGTTAGAGCGCTCGCCTCGCAAGCGAGAGACCTGGGTTCGATTCCCAGCAGGGTGAAATGTTGGGCAAGTTTCCTTACTCCATACGCTTTTCCGGGGGTAATAATTCCTTCCAAAAAAATAATAAGTTGGTCACTTCAATCCATGACTGTTTGTGGGAACGCTGCTGTGCGCAATTGGCTGCCGCGTTTCGCCCACAAAATATCCAGTCAGTTCACTTCACAGTATTTTCTGTGAAGCGCTTTGAGACGTCTCAAAGACGTGATGAGGCGCGATATCCAATGCAAGGATTATTATTATTCTAATAATAAGCAAATAGAACCAATTTTAGCAAAGCCAAACACCTGCATCTGGTTCAAGCACACCTCCCTGCAGTTCGCATCGATTTTTTTTCTTTCCTCTCCACTCCCACTGTGCAGTGAAGTTTGGATTATTACTTTACACCATGGAGACGTGTGCATATTCTTCCATATTTGCACTGGCCTATTCCTGGCTGGCATTTTCTTAAAAAAAGGACACTCTCCGAGAGAAACACTGACGGCGACATTAAAGGATTCCTTCCCAGAGGATGCCGAGGTGGGCCTCGGGGTCTGAAGCTGGGTCTGCAAAACACATTTCGGTGTCCAAATTTTAAAGAAGAATTGCAGTATTTTTTTTCAATATAAAACAAAGCCTCAATGTTGGCCATCGTCTCAACCTTGTTTTCTGAGGCTAGACACTGAAATATGATTCTTTACAGAGCTTCATCTGGCAGCAATCCTCTTCCCTGCTGCTCTTCAGTTTCAGTGCGGAGGACGGGTGGGGGGGCAGCTGTGGGAGGGAGGGAGGGGAGAAGAGAGGCCGAGAGCTAAGGCGGAATATATTTAAAGAATTACCTTCCAAAATCCACATTCATTGATCTGGCGATGATGGTGCCTTGTTTTCAGAAGCCAGTTAATAATTTGAAAAAGAATAAAGAGATATGCAATGTATTTTTCAGCCAGGTGCTCCAGGATATTAAGCTGCTCGCGACATTCTTCTCCGTGGAGTGTTCTCTAAAAGGCAATCGAACATTTGGATGATCTGTGTGCCAGATGAACCGTATCATCCCATTTTATATAAAAAAAATACTGGATTTTTTCCCCCCAAAAGGCCTTATCTGATCTTTCTAAGTTCCAACTGGCAGCTCCCAAGACATCCCAAGGCTTCCAACATCTGATTCGCTATTCGTTGCTGCTCCAAATATAATCGATAGAGGCTTGATCGGAAGTGCTTCGTCCTCCATTCAAAATAAATAAAAATAATTTGGTCGCTCAATCCACGACTGTTTGTGGGACGCCGTTGTGCGCATTTGGCTGCCGCGATTCTCCCACAAATTATACAGTCAATTCACTTTACAGTATATCCTGTGCAGTGCTTTGAGACGTCTCGAAAAGGCGCTATATCAAATTCAAGGATTATTATTATAATACGATATTGGCCCATCTGGAACTGCCAGTGACTTTGTTTGATCCACTGGTAGGCACACTTGAGCAAGAAAGTATTCCCCTTTTTCTCCCTGCTTCTGCCTTTGCCCCTTTTCATTTATAGTAATAATAATCATTGCATTTGATATAGTGCCTTATCACGTCTTCGAGACGTCTCAAAGCGCTTCACAGGATACACTGTAAAGCGAATTGACTGTATATTTTGTGGGCGAAACACAGCAGCCAATTACACACAGCAGCGTCCCACAAACAGTCATGGGACTGAGTGACCAAATTATTATTATTATTTATTGATATTTTGAAAAGTGATTCGCCAATCAACTAACAACCAGGTTCCTCCTTACTAGACGGAATAGAGGCGCGTGGAGTAAGGAATCTTGCCTAGGGTTTCCCCCCCAACACCAGAATCGAAGCCGGGCCGTCTTGCTTGTGAAGTGAGCGCTCTAACCAATACGCTGATAGACTCCACATGATCCTTGCATTTGCTTTGGCGAATTGTCATGTCATCGAGACATCTTGAAGCGCTTCACAAGATTTACTGTGATTTGTGGTGATTCTTTTGATTCACTGGTTGAAGTTCCTATTCCAGGGGCTGTGCCAGTAGCGTTCTAGTTCAGACTTGTGAAGAGGATCATTTTAGGTGAAGAAGCTGGGCCAAAATGGCTGGATGCGAGAATATTTATTTTATATGAAATACAGCCTTTCTTAAAGGCTATTCTTTCCATCTTCATTTTCCACTGCTAACCATTGGTGGCATTGTTTCATCTGATGCCTTTGCCAAACTGGTTAGAATTGAGCTGACAATGCAGTTGCCATTGATTTTGGAACCTGGCTTGTTCCAAGTTATCCCACAAGATCACTTAAATGATCTAAACAGCCACTTGCCTTCCAGATCAATGGAGGGCCGGTTTCTAAGAAAGTATGGTTTTGGTGTATCAGTATTTAACTGGAAACAGAAAGACTTAACCTTGTTTTTATTGGGGAAGGTGGGGGGAGAGAGGGGCACGAGAGAGAAGGGGGAATAACAGATGTAAAGCGTGGACTGTTATTTGAGTTCAGACTAAAAGCTATGCGAAACATATGGGTTGAAGTGCGTTACAAGGCAGTAACACATTGAAGGGTTGGATTGACTTCATGGAATTAGTGGCGGGTGATCTTTTATGCTATACTTTGGGAAGTATTTTTGTTGGCAGGGAGCATATAAGTGGATAGCAAATGCCAGATCACTGGGATTTGACCTACAGCAATATCAGGTTTGTTATCGCTATGTGTTAGGGAAATATCATACCCATCTGTAGTTTATAGTGCGCTTACGGTTATTAAATAGTGTTTTCTCAGTTAGCGATTACAAGTAGAAAGGATTCTCGATGGCTTGGCAAGTTTACTCAGTGAGGAACCAAGCCTTGCAGTTTTGATCTCTGCTTTGTACCAAGTTAGCTGATGTCAGCTGTTGTGGCACATGATTTCAAGGGCTTCTGCTCTTGTTTGCTATTTACCACCATCACTGGAAAGCACATGTGTGGGGGCTTGACGAGAGGAGGATTGCGCTTGACTGCCTTGCAATTAGAATCTTGTCTCGCACACGGGATATGTGCTTGGGTGAGATGTGCATGAAAGCGTAGTAGAAATTAGGATAGGGGGAGAAAATTGGCTAGAAGGAAAAACCATCAGAAAAAAATCTCCCAATGTGCACGAACCATCTCAGTTTTAAACAAACGTTTTTTATTTCCTTTCCTTTTCCTGCCAGGAACCTCAATGAATTGATTGACCGGTTTGTGGCAGATTTCAAGGCACAGGGTCCTCCGAAGCCAAACACCGAAGAGGGTGGAGCTGTGCTTCCCAGCTGTGCGGACCTGTTTGTCTACTATAAGAAGTGTATGGTGCAGTGCTCACAGCTCAGCACAGGGGAGCCAATGATAGCCCTAACCAGCATATTCCAGAAGTACCTGCGGGAGTATGCCTGGAAAATCCTCTCCGGAAACCTGCCCAAGTGAGTGTGAAATGAAGGCTCTTTAAATATTAATAATAATCATAATAAAGATGATCACCATCCTTGCATTTGATGTAGTACCTTATCATGGAGTCCTGTAGCTCAGTGGCTAGAGCAATCGCCTTGCAAGCAAGAGACCTGGGTTCGATTCCTGGGCAGGGCGAAATGTTGGGCAAGTTTTCTCACTCTGTTTATCTAGCAGTAAGTAGGAACCCGGTTGTTAGTCGATTGGCAGATCGCTTTTCCCACAGTAATAAATCCTTCAAAAAAAATAATAATTTGGTTGTTCAATCCACGACAGTTTGTGGGGCACTGCCGTGTGCATTTGGCTGCTGCAATTCGCCCACTTGTTTTTTTGTGTGTATCAAATGCAAAGATTATCATGTAAAGACTGCGTATATAATAGGCGAACGCAACAGCTAATTTATAAGTAGTAATATTGCACAACCAGCCGTGATGAGAATGATTAATTGCGTCTGGTGAACCTCCTTTCTCTTTTCAAATGGTCGTCACAACCCACTGTGACTCGTGGGCTAGAGGGCTACCCAGCGAGCCAGGCTGATACCTTGAAGAAGAGCGTGCAAGACGCAGTCTAGTCTCTCTCTGCTGCTAATTGATTCTGCGGTAACCATGCCCCACAAGCCACTTGATTCGTCTTGTCTTCGTTAACAACTGTTGCAAACAACATGGTCTCATTCACGCTCCTGTTGGTGCTTGATGCAGAAGCTGGAAGATGAGTTACACAAGTGGTCAGTGGTTGAACACAGATTGCCACACAGCGAGCTTCTGGTTTCTGCTGTGGGGAGGCTGAAACTAGGGAGTCAAGTATACCGTCCCACATAGTGGGCAAAACGGGAAGGTTGCTCACTTGTAGCTTTCTTTATAGACATCCCAACACATGTATAGCAACATCGTGGCAGGCTTGAGATAAGAGGACGCCAGTCCTTTCCTCATGCTTGAGGAAGATAGTCAGTCGAATTCTAGTCGTTTATTGTTAATTTCACAACCTGAATATATAGCGAGTTTCTCATTGAATCACGATTTCTTTCTTACTTATCATATACTTACATGTGGTATGAATGTCTTTCAATGTAGAGTCCTTACTCTTGTAGTGACTGCCTTTGGTGATTTTCTTTTCTCCAGAAAGAACTCTTACAAGTACCATTGTAACTCTCTCTGAAGCTATTATATTTCAGACACGACCCTTGACTTAAGCATTTACTTTCTCCTGAAAATCCAAAGAGTTGTGGCGTTGAGAGAAGAAAACGCGCTGGGCATCTGTCGAATAACCTTTCCTTTGCTTGCCTTTAATTTGGTTGAATTATTCTTCCTTCAGAAACACCAGCAGCAGTGGAGGACTGACCATTTCCAGCCTGCTGAAAGAGAAGGAGGGATCAGAGGCGGCAAAGTTCACAGTGGAAGAGCTCTGCCTCATTTGTAGCATCCTCAGCACAGCAGAGTACTGCTTGGCGACCACTCAGCAGGTGAGCCAGCGTCATAACCGTTGCTGTTATTTTGATTCACTCGATTCATTACGGAACATTACATTTGGTGCCAGATCACTTTGCTTTGTTGTTGGGAGGCCAGACGAAAAGACTGTGCCGTTGTTGTTGTTGTTGTTGCGAAAAATAATGTTCCTGTGCCTCACCCGAATGCTCTTATTGGTGGACTGGTCCAGAAATTGCAGCTCGCTCAATTGGCAGTTCTTTACACGTAAGCCAAAGACATTGGCCAAATATTGGCAGGCTATGTGACCACAGAGGGCATCCCAGCCTCACTTTTGCAGTCAGTGGTCACTGGATCGTAATCCGGAATGGATACTCTGGCTGATTTTCCATGGGTTTCACTGGGCGCAAGATTTGAGGGTTTCACTGAGGAAGCACCAAGAATTAGTCACTCCCCTGAGGCTCAGTAGATGTACAGATCTTGTCAGTGGTCAGGGATAGGACGGCGTGACTGACAGTCAGACAGGTAAGGGTACCCCAGAGAGAGTGGTGGAGGGACCTCAGGCTTTAAACTTGTCCAAAAGGTACGAGGTACTTGCAACCTGTGTGGCCAAGGAAGCCTGTAGGGAGGATGGGCAAACTGACCACAGCTCCCCTGTACAGGAGGCCACACAAGTGGGGGGAGCAAAAAGGAATGTGGTTGTGATAGGGGACGATGCAGTCAGGAGGACAGACACTCTTCTCTGCAGCCGCAACCAGGAGTCACGGAAGGCTGTGGTGCCTTCCTGGTGCCAGGGTTAAGGACGTCTCTGTTTGGTTGGAGAAGAACTTGGAGTAGGAGGGGGAGGATCCAGTTGATGAGATCCACATAGGAACCAACGACTTAGGCAGTAAGTCAGTAATGATGATCTGATGAGGGAGTTTAATGAGCTAGGGATGAAATTAAAAAACAGAACCTCTAAGGTAATAATCTCGGGATTACTACCTGAGCCATGCGCAAATATGTACAGGTATAAGCAGATTAAAGGGTTAAACGCTGGGCTGAAAGAGTGGTATGGGAAGCAGGGGTTTCATTTTATGGGCCACTGGCACCAGTATTGGGGAAAGAGGGAGCTCTTCGATTGGGATGGGCTCCACTTAAACCGGGCTGAGACCAGTGTCCTGGCAAAACAAATAACTAGGGAGGTAGATAGAGCTTTAAACTAATAAATGCGGGGAGGGAGGGTTAAATGTAAACTCGCAAAGCGAATAAGAAAAGTCAAGGCTGCAGAGCAGCATAGCGATTTGGGAGATGAAGAACAGAGTGTGTCAAGTAGGGACAAAGAGTTTAACAAAGAAAGGAGGGCATTAATGAGTAGGGGAAATAGTAAAAAGTTAAAATTAAAGGCGCTATACCTGAATGCACAAAGCATTCGTAACAAGATAGATGAATTAATGGCACAAATAGAGATAAACGGGTATGATCTAGTGGCCATTACTGAGACGTGGTTACAGGGAGACCAAGGTTGGGAGCTAAACATTCCAGGGTACCTGATGTATAGGAAAAATAGGCAATATGGAAAACGAGGAGGTGGGGGGTAGCCCTGTTAATTAAGGATGAGATAAAAACATTAGAGGGGAAGGATCTTAAATCAGGATGTAGAGTGGGTATGGATGGAGCTAAAAAAACAAGGGGCAGAAAACACGAGTGGGAGCAGTTTATAGACCCCAAACAGCAGTTACAGTATTGGGCAGAGTAATAATCAGGAAATTAGAGGAGCATGTAACAAGGGTAATACAATAATAGTGGGTGATTTTAATCTTCATATAGACTGGAAAAACCAAATTGGCAAAAGTAAATTAGAGGATGAGTTTATGGAATGCATTAGAGATAGTTTTCTAGAACAGTATGCTGAGGAACCAACCAGGGAACAGACGATCCTAGATCTTGTAATTATGTAATGAAGCAGGGCTAATCAGCAATCTTGAAGTTAAGGCTCCTCTAGGGCAGAGTGACCATAACATGATGGAATTTAATATTAAGTTTGAGAGTGGTGTAGTTAAGTCCGAAACAACGGTATTAAGCTTAAATAAAGCCAACGTTGCAGCTATGAGGGATGATTTGGCTAAAATAGACTGGGAAAGTAGATTAAAAGATATGATGGTAGACAAGCAATGGCAAACATTCAAAGATACATTAGATAATTCCCAGCGAACGCATATTCCCTTGAGAAATAAAAATTCCACGGAAAAAGTGGTTCAACCGTGGCTAACTAGAGAAGTTAAGGAAAATATAAAATTAAAAGAGGGGCTATAATACTGCCAAAAAGAGCTGTAAACCTGAGGATTGGGAGGGATTTAGAGATCAGCAAAAGGATAACCAAGAAACTGATTAAGAGGGAGAAAATGAATAAACTAGCTAGAGATATAAAGACAGATTGTAAAAGCTTTTACAAGTACATAAAGAGAGATTAACAAAAGTAAATATGGGTCCCTTACAAGCAGAGACAGGAGAAATTATAATGGGGAATAAAGAAATGTCAGAGTCACTGAACAAATGCTTTGCTTCTGTCTTCACGTGGGAAGATACTAAAAACTTACCAAAAATAGTGGGGAACCAAGAGACTAATGTTAGTGAGGAACTTAAAGAAATTAATATCAGTAAAGCAATAGTACTAGAGAAATTTATGGGACTAAAAACTGATAAATCCCCTGGACCTGATGGCCTGCATCCTAGGGTTTTAAAAGAGGTGGCTGCAAAGATAGTGGATGCATTGTTTTTGATCCTCCAGGATTCCCTGGATTCTGGAACGGTTCCCGTTGATTGAAAGATTGCAAGCATAATACCTCTATTTAAGAAGGGTGGGAGAGAAAAAAAGGGGAATTATAGACCAATTAGCCTGACATCGGTGGTAGGGAATATTCTAGAGTCTATAATTAGGGACGTCATCATGGGGCACTTAGAAAGTCATAATATGAATAAGCAGAGTCAACATGGCTTTATGAAAGGGAAATCATGTTTAACAAATCTTTTAGAGTTTTATGACGATGTAACTAGCAGCTTAGATGGGGAGAACCAGTGGATATACTGTACTTGGATTTTCAGAAGGCATTCGACCAGGTGCTGCATAAAAGGTTGTTACATAAGATTAGGGCTCATGGAATTAAGAGTAGTATATTAGCATGGATCGAAGAGTGGTGGGCAGAAAACAAAGTAGGATAAACGGGTCCTTCTCAGATTGGCAGGTTGTGACTAGTGGAGTGCTGCAAGGATCACTGCTTGGGCCTCAACTGTTTACAGTCTACATCAATGACTTAGATGAGGAAATAGAGCTTAATGTTATCTAAATTCACGGACGATACAAAGCTAGGTGGGAAAGTAAGTTGTAAGGACACAAGGAAGATGCAAAGGGATATAGACAGGTTAAATGAGTGGGCAAGAAGGTGGCAGATGGAGTATAATGTGAAGTTAATGTGGAGTATAAGTGTGAAGTTATTCACCTAGGTAGAAATAATACAAAAGCAGATTATTTTCTAGAGGGGGAGAGACTAGATAGCGTTAGTGTTCAGAGGGATTTAGGTGTCCTTGTACACCAATCGCAGAAAGTTAGTATGCAGGCACAGCAAGCAATTAGGAAGGCCAATAGCATGTTAGCATTTATTGCAAAGAGTAGGGAAGTCTTGCTGCAATTGTTTAAGGCCTTGGTGAGACCACACCTGTAATATTGTGTGCAGTTTTGGTCTCCTTATCTAAGAAAGGACATACTCGCCTTAGAGGGGGTGCAATGTAGGTTCACTAGGTTACTTCCTGGGATGAGGGGGTTGACCTATGAGGAGAGGTTGAGTAAACTAGGCCTATATTCTCTAGAATATAGAAGAATTAGAGGTGATCTTATAGAAGCCTATAAGATTCTTAAGGGTCTTGACAGGGTAGTTAGTGTGAGACTGTTTCCCCTAGTTGGAGAATCTAAAACTAGGGGTCATAGTCTCAGGATTAAAGATCAGAACTGAGTTGAGAAAACATTTCTTCACTCAGAGGGTAGTGAATTTATGGAATTCTGTACCCCAAAAGGCTGTGGATGCTCAGTCCTTGAACAAATCGATAGATTTTTAAAATCTAAAGGGATTAAGGGATATGGGGAAAGAGCGGGTAAATGGAATTAGGTTAGTAGATCAGCCGTGATCTTATTAAATGACGGGGCAGGCTCGAGGGGCCAAATGGCTTACTCCTGCTCCAATTTCTTATGTTCTTATGTTCTTAACTGAATCAATATCTCCAAGAGATGGTCAATAACTTTGAGTATCTAAGCTACTTGTTTCGTTCGAACTATGTGGCTTAATTCATCTCCTCCAGACTGTTAGCTTACAACTCCACCCGCTTGCCAAAGGTCCCGTGACTGACTTCATCGACACTTGTGTTTTTTTCAAGTGCAGGTATTGAATGGGTTGAAAGTAAGGATAAGTGTTCAGTTCATCATCATTTTTTTTATAACAGCTTTTATTTTAATAGGTGTCGGGGTGAGCCTTCTGCCTCAAGCACAAGCTTTGTGAACTTTTGATTTTTTTTTTGTTTGCACTTTTTTTTGGACCACCCTAGCTGCTCTTACTTCATAAATCTCGCTTGCTCAAAAGCACCTGTGGTTAAGACATAAATCTGTACAGTTGTAACTGTGGTTTGACACCTTTCACATAACTGATCGAAGGATAGAATTCCACTGTTTCGAAGCGGTTCCAAGTTGCACCCACTTCATATCGTTTTAGACCTCAGCAGAAGGGTTGCGCTTAAAAACCCAGCATAGTTGTGGCCAGTTTTCATTGCTTGCAGTACACTAAAAGGCACTTTAACTTGCCATTTTCTATCAAAATTATAATGTGCATTCTGTAGGGGTTTCACTCATTTAATATGCATGGACAGCGTGACCAAAAAGTTGTGATAATTACCCTTTTATCTAAAAAAAATCATTTCTTTAAGACTTATTAGACATTTTAATGGTATCATGACTTTTTGGTCACCCTGTATATATTTTAATATAAATCACTATTTCCAATCCAGGCACAGCTTGAGTGTCAGGAGTGAGTGAGGCAAAGTGTTCAGAAGGATTTCAATGGCTACACAGTGGGTTCTGAGATGGACTAGACTGTGTGGAACCCAGTGTTAAGACACATGCATCCCACGGGGGGAATCTACATTGGAATGGAAACTCTCGAAATATGGAGCCTTAATTCCGCCCGATTGGATCAGATCAGACGCCCTGATTAAAACCGAGGGATTAATGTCTGGTATTTTTAGACTTCTCACATGAATCGAGCGCATCAAAATAACAGCAACTGTTACGAGTACAGCAGAAATGTTGCTAAGCATTTCAGGTTACACTTCTGCAAATGTCTGCAGTAGAGTTTAAAGAAAGAATGATATGGTGCCACAGTAACTACAGTAGACGTATGAGATTATAAAAATCAACCGCTTGGAAACTTCGGTTATCTCAACCTTACTTAAAGATAATTTTTGCTTTTAACAGAATATTTATTTGACACTAATTTGAGTGAGGCAAATTGCGAGTAGATTGTGGTGTACAACTGGGAATATTGGATGTACCAAGTTTGTTCTTATCACAAGAAAGAAGCTCTGGAGCTTTCCATTGTGTATCCTGTGCAGTTTACTTTGCTGTAAAGTTTACCAGCTTGGGTGCAAATCCTTAACTGTCCAGTGCCTTGGGACATCCTCCCGACGTGAAAGACGCTATGTAAATGTGATTTGTTGCTGCTGCTGTTGTTATTGACGTTTACAATTTCTCTGAAAGCTTGAAGAGAAACTGAAAGAGAAGGTGGACGTAAATCTGGTGGAAAGAATTAACCTGACCGGGGAGATGGACACATTCAGCACGTGAGTATAAGAATTAGGGATGTTGACTGATTTGATCAGCCATTCTTTTGGGTGGGGAGGTGGTGGGGGAACACAATTTGCATGATAACTAAGAGTAATTAAACACCTTTTACCTTTTACGAGGAGTATGCATGATTGGCTCCAAAGTACAGTAGCTTGCTCTTATATTCTCTCACTCCACCCTTCCTTTGAGGAAATGACTGGCCTCTACCCTGCACCTCGGCTGGTGGCAGGACTGAGATGGAGAGCTCGCTGTGTGGGAAATGAATTGTAGGTACTGCTGTCTGCCACCTATTCAATCTCCCAGTTTAACACAAGGCAGCGTGCCAAAGCTCCTGTAGAAACATTCGTCTTTGGACACCACGTTAATATGGGTATGAACACATCTTTCCAAGAGTTTGTTAGTGATCTGCTATATTTCCATAGAGGCAAACTCTGACATCCTTCTGCTGTTTCCATAGAAGCCCCTATGTGGGCATCAACATTTCCACAGAGTCACCTCCCATTTGATGTTTGGATGTATTTTTTTCTGAGTCGGTGTTTCTAAATATTCAAAATTATTTCCACAGGAATGTCCAGAGTATAGAACAGTGGAATTGTTTACAGCGAGAGTTTGCTTTTCTTTTGCATGCAGTGCCTTTTTCCAAGCATCTTTCCATAGAAGAATGTACTGTTCCACAAACGGAACTGATGCATATTGAAGCGAGACTGTTGACTGTTAATGACAAAACTGAAATCCTTGGCCACTGAAAGATTTTGCTGGTGGCTGTCTGCCTGCCCTCCTGTCTGCAGAGCTGACTAGCTGAAAACTGGAACTTCTATAAGCTCTGGGACGCTACCCCGCGTGAGGGGCGCTATTTAAATGCAAGTTGTTGTTTTTGAAACATCCACAAGTGTCTAGCACGAGAATGCCTAATAAAGCTTGCTTGCTGTTTTACTACATCTTCTTGGAGTTGAGTGGAAGACCCCAATATTCCAAAGGCATAGAATTATGTAGGACTTTACAGCATGGAAACGGGCCATTCAGTCCAATTCGTCCTTGCTTCTACTTCACATGAGCCTCTACCCATCCTAATCTTCTCTCCCCACACCCCACTATACCCTTGTCCCTATTGTATGACTTAAGTTTCCACTCAAATACGTTAATGTATTAAACACAGCTTCCAAATTCTTGCCACCCTTTGTGTAAAGAAGTCCATCCTAATCTCCCTTTTAGATCAGCTACTAGCTATCTTATTTATCACCCCCATTTTCGGTATGACCTCCCTACATGGCTCAGCATTGGGGCTTTAACTACAGATATAGCTCCAACCCACCAAGCCCAAACCAAAAAGAATTGGATGGTCTTTAATGTTCAAGGATTAAAAAAATTACTAATGTTCATATTGTTAAACACTGAATATAGTTACCCGTTGTAGTTGCTCACTAATTATAACTGACAATATACATTATAATACATTAGAATATACAGCACAGATACAGGCCATTCAGCCCAACTGGTCTATGCCGGTGTTTATGCTCCACATGAGCCTCCTCCTGCCTTTCCTTAACTAAGCCTTCAAGCATAACCTTCTATTCCTTTCTCCCTCATGTACCTTTCTAGCTTTCCCTTAAATACATTTATGCTATTTGCCTATACAACTCCTTGTGATAGCATGTTCCTCATTCCCACTACTCTCTGTGTGAAGATATTTCTTCTAACTTCCCTATTTGATCTATTTGTGACTATTTTATATTGATGGCCCCCGGTTTTGGTCTCCCCCACAATCTTCCCTATGTCTACCCTATCAAAACCTTTCATCATTTTAAAGATCTCTATCAGGTCAACCCTTACCCTTCTCTTTTCAAGAGAAAAGAGTCCAAGCATGCTCAGCCTTTCCTGATAGGTATAACCTCTCAGTTCTGGGATCATCCTTGTGAATCTCCTTTGCACTTTAGGCTAAAGTTTTAGCGTGACTTTGCTCACTGTCTGAAACAAAAACAGAGATCGCTGGGAACACTCAGCAGGTCAGACAGCATCTATGGAGAAAAGAAAGTGGGTCAACGTTTCTGGTCCATGACCCTTCGTCAGAACTGGGGGAATGTTGGGAGGGAGAGGCTTCAACAGAAAGGAGGAGGCAGGGCAAGAGATGCAAAGGAGAAAATGGGGAAGGACAGGGGATGATGGATTAAAAAGGTATTAATGATGCAAAGCAAAGGGGGGTATAGAGGTAGCTCAGGAGAGAAAAGGTGTGTCTGGGACCCAGCTGATGTGCTAATGGGTCACAGAAGAAGGTGAAGGCAAGCTGAACTGGGATTTGGGGTCAGGAGGGGTGGAGGGCAGGGATGTGGAGGTGGGGCAGGTAAATGGAGCTGAAAGGATTGCTCAGAGCTAGCACTGACACGATGGGCCAACTGGCCTATCTCTCAGCTGTAAATTTCCGTGGTTTGTGGCATTGCTTCCGTGCAAATGTCGTTGAGCCAAACGAGCTGCATGTTTGTTCTGCCTCTTCATCTTTGAAGACCGTGATCCTATAAAGAAAGTGTCCTACTTTACACACTGCCTTATTTGTGCCGGGTTCTTCTGTAGATTCTTTGTGATGAAGCCACAAGCTATTTCAGTCGGGCTGGAAAGACTGTGGATTACAATAAGATGGTGCAAAACCACAACTATTTCCTGCACTGTTGTACCATTTGGTTGGATGCAAAACTCCGAGTGCCAAAATATTTCAATTATGTATGGTTTCTGGGTTATTGTTAATTTTGCTCACTACTGCTCTTTGGGGAGTAAACCATATGGCGCCAATCTAATGAAGTCTCCCAGGGCTGCCAAAATAGTTTTGGTCGCAAATGTCTTTTGAAAGAGGGTGGTACACAGTTGTTACGTTAAAGATACAAAAATATTTTCCTCTATTTGGTCAGCCAAGAAAACAGGGACTGCACATAATTACAGTCAGAAGTGCAAGGCAGTAGCGTACCGCAGAGCACTGCATCAAAAGTGACTGATTTTCACTAAGATTGCAGCTTTCCACCCATAAAATTTGGCTCCAATTAACGAGCCCTTTTCATTACTTATTAAACCTCTTAAATAACACTTTCCCAATTCAACCTTCAGCCATCTGAAACAGCTTGGCTGTTCTCGTTTTCATGCAATGAGGTCGTGAAGGATATTTTTGGATGTCATTTTTGGCTCACTGCTTCGTCAAACTCTTGCCGGTTGGACCGACTGGAGAGCCTTGTGGGTTTGAATGCAAAATCTGGCGTAAGCTCTTGCAAACGCTACCAGCTCAGTTCGGTCTGAGTGGAAACTAAAGCTTCAAATTCAGTCTCGGCATCAATCCAATACTTATACCATATCTACTCACTGTAGAGTTCAGTAAAGATACAAGGTTAGCAACTACATGAGTTTTCATTGTACCATGGCTTCTTACCAAAAAATCCAGCTATCTGATATTTGTCTCTAGAATCACAGGAGTTATCGCATAGGAGACCATTCAGCCTACCATCCTTTGATCCTGCTAACTCCTCCCTGAATCTCCCCCCATCTCTATATCCTTTTTTATTTTAGAGTCTGATCCCTAATAAAATATGGGGTTCCTTTACACTATACAATTGAAATAACTTCAAAATAAAATATGTTAATCAATCATCCCTTTTCTTTCTGCTCCCCTACCCTGAATTCCCTCCTGTATCCCCATATCCATTTCTCCCCTGACTTCCCAAATACCAATCCGTCTCCCTCTTAAACACCTCATTTGATTCTGTTTTTTTTTGCCTTCCACGGGCGTACATTCCAGGTTCTCAAAATCCTTGGTATCTGAAGTCTTTTTCTGGATTCACTTTTACCTTTTAACACGTTTAAAAGTGAATCCAGAAAAAGTCTTCATGCAGAGGCTGACATTTCAGCTTAAATTTAAAGGTTATGTTCCCTTTACTCGTTCTTTGTCTACTGTGTCAATCCTCCATGGTTATTTTATTATTCCGAGAAGCTGGATCGGATCACTGGTTAACCTCCTCAGCCCTGGAGAATGCGGGGAATTATCAAATAAATGCCGAAGATGAATGTAATTCTGACAGTAATTTTGAAAAGTATTGAAACAAATGTTTTCTGCATCTGCGCATCGAAGCTGGCCAGTGTACCAGAGGCTCTCATTTCAACAGGAGGAATTCCTTAAATACCCAGATGGCTACATTTTCAAATGGCTCTTAAAAATCTGTTCTTATTTTAAGGAAGGCATTGGACTGTGGCACATTGGAGGTCTCATGGGTTCCTTTAAAGGTTGGGTGGGAATGTGGGTCTGTGCCCACATTTCCACACAAGGCGAGTTTCCATTCTGTCGTGCAGAGGTCAGGCATTGCTTCCCCACACAGAGGGAGAAAGGTCGAATCTCAGGCAATGAATATTAAAACACTGGTTTAATTTCCACAAGGTATACTGTTCTTTTTCTGCATAACAGGATTTAATGTCTGTTTTCCCATCGTGTGTTGCAGTGTGATTTCAAATAGTATCCAGCTTTTAGTTCAAGACCTGGATGCAGCCTGTGACCCTGCACTTACAGCCATGAGTAAAGTAGGTACCTTGCTGTGATCTTAAACCCTTTAAGTGCTCTTTAATTTGGAATAGCCAATGTTTCCTTGTGATGGTTTGAAACGTATAATATGCCATTCAAAAGGCCCCAACATAAGTTCCAGTGTGGCTGGTCTCTGTCTTCCTCAGGTGCTGGACAGTAGTCCCACAATTCTAAACAAGGTCCTTATAACCTGCCATTTATTAGCAAATTCCTCCATTCCTTCCCCCATATCAGCTGAGCCTCCCCTGACTGAATAATTATAGAAAGACTGCGAACTGCTCCTTAAAGGATATTACTTTTGGTCAGCCAAGTGTCCGACATGTACAAAAACCCACCACCGTGCCGAAAAGAGTATCTGAAGCAGACTGAGAATTCCACATCAGTATGCCACTTCCAGGTAGAAATTTCCCTGGGTCGGGACTGGAATGCGCACTCTCCCCATGGAGGGACTCACTCTGGGACCCCAGGGTACGAGTTGGGGCACGGCTGGAGTTTTAACCAGCTACAACCACGCAGCTCGCCATTTTAACTGGAGCAGATTTTAGCGCTAAAGCCGCAACACGAGTTGGAACCTCTCTCTCGTTTTCCTGCGACTCTTTTGCTCTGCAAAATTCTGTCAAACTTAAATGTCGATCAAAAAAAAAAATAGCAACTTGTGTTGTGTTTAACATTTTATAAACGAACCAATAAAATCCCCCCCCCCACCTTCTTCTCCTCTCCTCTCTCCACCCGCCACCCCACCCGCGGTCTTTTGATCCTAAGGTCTCAGAAGAAGCTGACGCTCATCAGTTATTTCTCCTGCATCTCCGAGCCCTGTCACTATCAGACTGATTAACCTGTCGAAATGTGTGCGCTGCAGATGCCGTGGCAGAACGTGGAGCACGTGGGGGACCAGAGCCCGTACGTCACGTCCATTATCCTCCACGTTAAACAGAACGTGCCCACCATCCGCGATAACCTCGCCTCCACCCGCAAGTACTTCACCCAGTTCTGCATCAAGTTTGTCAAGTAAGTGCATTGCCCTCTTGCTCTCAGTGGTCACACCTCGCACTTTAGACGCCTTGGAGACGGGATAAGGCGTTTGTATCGAACGCAAGGATTATTATTATTATTGTTTACCGCAAGGATCTTCTCTTGAGCATGTTAAAACAGAAACCCCTTCAATACAGATGATGTACCAAAAAAAAACATTAGCTTGTTCAGCCTTTCCTGATAGGTATAGCCTCGCAGGTCCGGTATCATCCTTGTAAATGTCCTTCGCTCCTTCTCCAGTGCCTCCATATCCTTTCTATAATATGGGAACCAGAACTGCAAACCGTACTCTCAGATGTGGTCAATCGCGCGGCAGACAATTGCGTACAGGAGTTCTCTTCGATTCGCACTCTGCGTGCCCGGGAAGGAACGCGTTAACAGTGTTGCAGGCCGCAGAGGTAACATTTGTTTGGATCTTTGACCAAACAAAAGTGGATAATTCAGGAGGCAACCTGGCTCAGTTGGTAGCACCCTCAACTCTGAGTAAGAAGGTTGGGAATTCAAACCCCAGATCGGGACTTTGAGCTCACATAGTGTAGGCTGACACTCTAGTGCAGTGTTGGGGTAGCCTTGCATTTTCAGAGGTGATGTCCTTCGAATGAGGAGCTAAACCGAAGTCCCATCTGCCTGTTCGGGCGAATGTTAAAGATCCTATGGCAGTATTTAAAAAAGAGAAGGGAGTTTCTCCCTGTATCCAGGCCTACAATCCCCCAGATAAAATTGGCCATTCACTTCATGACCGTTTGTGGGACATTGTGCAAAATAGGCTGCTACATTTGGGTATAAAATACAAAAGTCACTGTGCTTTACAGTAAAGCATTTGAGAAGTGCTGATGGGAATAATCAAACGTAAACATTATTGTTAATTTTGATTGACTCAGTTTCACAAAGTTGTGCGTTAACCTCCGAGATGGGATCAATAATCCGAGCCGTATCACCTCGGACAGATTTTAATCCAGTGAAGATGGGGGCAAAATGCGACAAAAGTCTTGCCAAAAGGCAAACAACCGAGGTAGAAATGCAGAGAAGTTTCAGAGGTGAAAAGCTGATCTGTGTGCAGTGAGATCTAGTCGGTAATGAACAGCCCCAGCCAGAGCTAGACTCTCTGGGGATGTATTAAAAGTCACAAAGAAAGAGCTATAACAGCCTGCTGTACAGCAGCCACTATTTGAATAATTTTATGACTGTACACCAGTTCGGTTTGAACTGCTTGCATCATATCTGTAAGTATTTGTTATTCCAGACTGTCCCCTGTGTATCATGTATATACAGTGCGCTCTGTTCAGAATAAAACTCATTTCACATGACCTGCGCAAATGAAGAGATCTCCATTATTCAGCTCGGTGGATTCCTCAGTCTCAGCGACTAAAATCCACTCCTTTTCACCGTCCCACCCCACCCACCAATCCTTCTGGCTCTGAGCCAGATGACCACCTGGATTCAGAATGCAACTCGTTTCGATTCCTGAGTGGTGGGGCTCGGCTGGACGTTTAGTTCCTGTGACTGGAGTTAAATGGACTCCTTTTACAAAAAGAAGCCAAACATTACAGAAGCAGAGTTCTACAATGATGTATGCCAGGCTCTAACTGCCGTGCTGCAAACTCGTGTATTTGCCCTATTTTCTGCTTTGCAGTCCGTGTGGAATTCAATTGGTAAACGCAAGCCAAAATGCGGAATTCAATAGGTTTTTATCACAAGGCTGAAAGAAGAAATTCAACACCTTGAGGGGAGGAGAAAACGAGGATTCAATAATAACAATAATAATCCTTACATTTGATCTAGCGCCTTATCACGTCGTTAAGACACCTTAAAGCATTTAACAGAATATATTGTAAAGTGGATTGACAGTGTATTTTGTGAATGAAACATGGCAGCCAGTTGCGCACAGCAGTGTCCCACAAACAGCCGTGGGTTGAGTGATCAAATTACTATTTTTAAAAAAAATTCTTATCTTAGAAAAAAGTGGCCACCTGGCAGCAATCCTATCTGGCAATAAATAGGACTGCGGAAATCTGTTCACCTGATGGCAAGAATACGCAAGTCTTACCCATTCAGTGAAATTGAATGGGGGGGGTGGGGAGGGGAAATCTATTCATTGATTTGGGATTTATTGAACAGCCCGGCTAAGCTACAACAACAACTTGCATTTATATAGCGCCCTTCACGTTGTACGGCATCTCACAGAGTGCTTTAAGCTGATGCAAATGCACATTACCGAAAGCTTCTACATTGAAGAAGCGGTGTGTGCATTTAGCAGGACTCCAGCTATGTAGCTCTAATGACAAAACCGAGTGAATCCTGCCTTCAGAGGTCCCTAGCCAGGAACCAAATGCTATTCCCACCTGCTGTGAATATAATAGCCTATCCTTTTATCTGTGCACAAGCCGAGCTACCAGCCAGACTGTAGTTGAGTCTTATGTTTCCTCGTCTGCCTCCAATCCGGATTCTCTTGTGCTTTTTCTGAACCAGCTGTATTTGGTTGTATTTTCTGTGCCTGTAAACCTGCTGCACAACACCTATCTCCTTGCACTTCCCAACCAATGCTAACGCTAATCTCTGCTACAGCTGTTGAGTTGTGTTCTTTTCATTTTTTTTGAACTTCTTCAAACCTATGGCTGAACTTTAGACACCGGCTTCCATTCCAGCCTTTGAACTGTTGTAAGGGAAATATCCGCCCAGTGAATAAGCTCTCTGGGACGCTATCCTGCGTGATGGATGCTATATAAATGCAAGTTGTTGTTATTAAATATTTTTCCCCAAAGTAATCAAATTTAAGCTTACTTAGTTACCCAGTCAGTTTTTTTTTGCAAATTGTGATGTTTTATCCAAACCCTGCAATAGAATCACAGCCTTAAAGTCACAGCCAGCTCCGTGTTATGTTGTGTGCACTGTAAATGCAATCTAGTTTTTTTTTCAAAAAGCGTTGCGTTTTCCTACTGATGTCCGATTGACGTGCTGCACATCGTTGGGTGGTGGGGAGAGCCTGATACAGATAATGATAATAATCCTTGCATTTCTCTCCTGTACCTCTGCGCTTGTAGGTAATGTTACTTTGCCTAAACAGAATCAGGTTCTGAAGATGAATACTGTACTTTTAAGTACGTTTAAGGATTAACTTGATCAATGTGTTTATCAGGAAGTGGCTGTTGTCATAACCTGGTGTGCTCACCTCACTGCCAGACACCTACCTACCTATTGCCAGTGTCCCATTCAGTACTAGCCGTTAGTTACTCCGCTTTGGTCCTTTACGTGGTCTTGTTTTTCGCAGCTGGGCTCCAGATTTAGACATGCGTTCAGACAGTTTGCTCTTTGCATATTCATAGAAAATATCTAATTGGGGCCTTCCTCCTTCGCAAATGTGCTTAAAGTCACAGTGTCCCCCTGGGCCAAGCTGGCATCGTGTTGAGTTGTATATATTAGGAACACTTTCTGAACAAACTTAACCATTGCATTGCTCAGCCATTCAAAGATGATCCCTGGATTGCGTTCCTTTCAGCATGTGGCTGACATACTTGTTACAAGACTTGTGTATGCTCAGACTTGCCCCCAGAATCTTTCTATGTGCCTTTTGATCAAGTAGATGCATTCCTATATTTGGTACCAACATTACGTGCTGAAATTGTAAGTCTTCAAACATCCTATGCCATTTATTTTTTTACTCATTCCTACCTCTCTTCCTTGCAAAACACAAAACCTTCTTTTCAGCTGGGAGAAGGGTCGGGTTGCATTATGACTTTCGTGCACTTTTCTACAGAAAGATTTGTAGAAAGATTCTGGGGGGTGGGAGGCGGCGTAGAATGTCATAATCAATGTGGTCCAGTGAGAAACTTTACACTATGTTTACTGTACCGAAAGAGAAGCGGCTTCACTAGCTGGCCCTGGCAGTGTAACAAGAACCTCATTGAAACTCCTCGTACCAAATTGCATTGAATCGAGACTGAAAAAACACCCGAGTTGGGTAATCCTCGCATGCAAAGCTTTGCTATTTAATAACAGTGAAATAAAGGCCCTTAGAAAGTCTCAACCCTTTCAATAGATGATAGGAGAGCAAGGCCAGTGTGAGTTGTTTCTGTGAGTACATACTACATGGATGCAGATCATTCTGCTCCTGAAGCAACTTCCTCCAGGTGGTGCAATTTGCTGACAAACCTGAAGTGTGAACTTGAGCATTAAATGATATATTCATTACTGCCCCATCTTCTGAAGAGTTGCGCGCATTTGTAAACCAGCTTTATCGTCTTCAGCGATTGGTACGTTGGTACACTTTTGTTTCGCCCACAAAATACACAGTCACTACACTTTACAGTATATTCTGCGAAGCGCTTTGAGACGTCTCAAAGACATGATAAGGCGCCATATCTCACGCAAGGATTATTATTATAACATTGGTACGCTTCATGACAAAAGTAAAGCAAAAACTCCCTCGTAAAGCCCGAAATTATCCGGGATTCGGAACTCTGGCGGGAGGAAAACCTATTTGAACATCTTCACCGGTTTTGAGGTTTGCACGGGGCATAATTTCACTGTTTTTCAATATTCATGCCAAGTTATATCAGACGGGCTGTGATTAAGCAGATGGCTCCGTTGTAATAACATAGGTAGTTGCTAGCTGGTTGCCAGAAAAACAGGGTCAGGATGACACTAGGCAAGATGTTTGACAAAATGGAACTCGCATTATTTACAGGGATCTGTGATGGGTTTCTGTGATGGGTTTCAAAGATGTATCCTTCACACAATAAGGTAGGCTGCGCCTACTTCAAATATGCTATTGCAGTTTCCGTGAACTATTTAGCCACGGACCTGGAGCTTCCGAATTGGCCCTCCGAAAGTATTCCTTCAGGAAATCCTTCAACGGTCGGGGGCGGCCTTGTTACCATCACGTTCAGGCGTTGGTTTCTGGAACTGACTTCGAGCGGAGGTCAGACAAGTAACAGGAAGGGAAAAGCAGAGGAGAGACATGCTCTTGCATTGCTCCA